CCCCCCCCCCCCCCCACACACACACACACACACACACTCCGGACATCAGCTCCGCTGCAGGGGCTGTGATGTTTTCGAGCGAGTTTTCCGCTATTTGCGCGTGTTGTTTGTTGAAGCGCACTGCGGCAGGAGCTGTGACGTTATTTCTAAGAGACTCCTGCAGGAAGCTCCTGCTCACCTGAACCTTCAGCCCAGGATCACCTGCTGCAACTGCTCTGCACATGCTCACATTAAGTTTGTACTTAATGTAAGGCATTATAAACACCAAACTTTGCAGCGCATGCGTGAATCCTAATGTTTAGGTTAATCACCGTGACCCCCCCCACTGATGTCTGCTCTGCACTACTGTATGCACAGCAGTGTCAAGAGAAATGGCTGCTCCACTGTCAAGAAGGTTGGAGCTGACAAAATGGAGGACTCGGGCTCACAGTGAAGCTCTAGAGTCTGAGCTGGTGTCTGGATGTGCTGACAGGAGAGCAAACTGGTTCTGAAAGATGAGAGCTGGGGTGTGGATGGATGCAGGGTAAAGAGCAGGAGGGGCAGTGTTGTTTGTTTGTTTGTGATCACTTCTTTTACCCATAATCACCGGAGACACCGCGCTTCCAACAAACACGGCCCTCCATGGATTCTCATCGTTAATGACCCACGTTCTGACCACATTAATTACCATCGGCTGAAATATCTGTCCTTGCTTTTTGCCTAAAACCCCAAGGAAATCCAAGACGCATACAAACAGCCACTACTTTGTCAAGGAAATAATTAGCTGCTCTTGCAAAACATTTCAATATCAGGAAAGATGTGTTGAATAAATGTTCTCCTTTTCCTGCTCTGTAAAGAGTTTGCTGTCCTGACTAACCCAACCCCAGCTTCTGCAGACAATCTCAGCCCAAGTCCAGTCATCATGGGGAAGGAGAAACTCCACATCAACATTGTTGTGATCGGCCATGTGGACTCTGGGAAGTCCACCACCACGGGCCACCTCATCTACAAGTGTGGCGGCATCGACAAGAGAACGATAGAGAAGTTTGAGAAGGAAGCTGCTGAGGTACAGACATGGAGCTGAGGATGAGCTCCTATAAATCATCCATCATCTTTACCCGCTTCTTCCATTTTGGGTCGCGGGGGTCAATTTAAAGACGATCATGTTAGAAAGACGTCACTACACAGCACAGGTCACTTGGCATTAATTCAAATTTTATTATGTTTCTTGATTTCCAGATGGGAAAGGGGTCCTTCAAGTACGCCTGGGTGCTGGACAAGCTGAAGGCGGAAAGGGAGCGCGGCATCACTATTGACATTTCACTGTGGAAATTTGAAACAAGCAAGTACTATGTGACCATCATAGATGCTCCAGGCCACAGGGATTTCATCAAGAATATGATCACTGGAACCTCCCAGGTATGGAATATGAGGATGCATAGCCATTTGGTATCTGTAGACTTTGTGTTTTGTTGTATTGAGTTTGCAGTTTTATCCCTAAGTAACATTAAATTAGGCCTTAAAGCTGCTTCTGGGCTGTACTTATGGTTATCTTTTACATCCACAGGCCGACTGTGCTGTGCTCATTGTGGCAGCAGGAGTGGGAGAATTCGAGGCAGGTATTTCCAAGAATGGACAAACCCGTGAGCATGCCCTTCTGGCATACACCCTCGGAGTAAAGCAGCTCATTGTGGGCATCAACAAGATGGACTCCACCGAGCCAAACTACAGCCAGAAGCGTTATGAAGAGATTGTGAAGGAAGTGAGCACCTACATCAAAAAGATTGGCTACAATCCAGACACTGTTGCCTTCGTGCCCATTTCAGGTTGGAATGGAGACAACATGCTTGAGCCCAGTCCAAATGTAAGTAGCACTCACAGACCAGCAACACAAACATTACAGGTGTCAGTAGAAGAGCAAAGTTGAGGATTTGTATACGGATTTGTTTGCCTGATGCCAGATCTGGAAAGCTGTAGATCAGTTAACAAGCAGCAGCAGCTAAACTGCTGCAGACAGCACTGGTCCCATTTATTTACGCCAGTTGGTTTTATGCAAAGCAATTCCTCTCAAGAATGACTGCACGCTACAGCACAGCACAGCATCCAAGACAGTGGTGCTTGGAAGTTTATGGACACTTCAGAATGTTCTATATTTCTGCATAAATATGACCTAAAACATCATCAGATTTTCACACAAGTCCTAAAAGTAGATAACGAGAACCCAGTTAAACAAATGAGACAAAAATATTATACTTGGTCATTTATTTATTTATTGAAGAAAATGATCCAATATTACATATTTGAGTGGCACAAGTATGTGAACCTCTAAGATTATCAATTAATATGAAGGTGAAATTAGTCAGGTGTTTTCAATCAATGTGATGATGGTCAGGTGTGAGTGGACACCCTGTTTGATTTAAAGAACATGGATCTATCAAAGTCTGCTCTTCACGTTTGTGGAAGTGGATCACGGCAGGAACAAAGGAGATTTCTGAGGACGTCAGAAAAAGAGTTGTTGATGCTCATCAGGCTGGAAAAGTTTAAAAAACATCTGTAAAGAGTTTGGATTCCACCAATCCACAGTCAGACTGATTGTGTATAAACAGGAAATTAAAGACCATTGTTACCCTCCCCAGGAGTGGTCGACCAACAACCAGATACTGAAAGCAAAGTTCACATACTTTTACCACTAACAAATATGTCACATTGAATCATTTTCCTCAATAAATAAATGACCAAGTATAATATTTTGTCTCATTTGTTTAACTGGGTTCTCTTCATCTACTTTTAGGACTTGTGTGAAAATCTGATATTTAGGTCATAAATATTCAGAAATATAAAAAAAAAATGAAGCGTCCCCAAACTCACAAGAACCACTGTAAATCAAACAGAGTCAAGTCACTTCAACTTCAGTCACTGGGAAAAGAGAACACAAAATGTATTCACCCACTGGACAACACGTATCAGGCCACAATGATTATTATTGGAGTTTACAACTTTGAAATTAACAATTTTTATTGTAGTAAACACTTTAATTTTCCCTTTGCAGATGACTTGGTTTAAGGGGTGGAAGATCACCAGGAAGGATGGCAGTGCATCTGGGACCACACTTTTGGAAGCTTTGGATGCCATTCAGCCTCCGACCCGTCCAACGGACAAACCTCTACGTCTTCCTTTGCAGGATGTCTACAAGATAGGAGGCATGTAGTGTGATAAATTATACAGATAATCTAAATGTCAAAATTGTGACACATGAAACACATCTGGTTTAATTTTAAAATGACAAATTTAGCAGTTCAAGATTGAAATACTTTGATCTTTATTTCATGGTTAAGTGTATGATCTGTATACTGACACCTTCATCCTCAGGTATTGGAACTGTGCCTGTGGGTCGTGTGGAAACAGGCATCCTGAAGCCCGGCATGGTTGTGACATTTGCCCCGGTAAATGTGACAACCGAGGTGAAGTCTGTGGAGATGCATCATGAGGCGCTGACAGAAGCTCTCCCAGGCGACAATGTGGGCTTCAACGTTAAGAATGTGTCCGTGAAGGATATTCGTCGTGGCAACGTGGCTGGAGATAGCAAAAATGATCCTCCACAGGAAGCTGCCAACTTCACTGCTCAGGTAGACACTTCAAAACACATATTCAGAGATAAAAACAGGCCTGTCACGATAACAAATTTTGCTGGGCTATCAATTGTCTCAGAAATTATTGCGATAAACGATAATCTTGTTTGAAATTTGACAATAATTAGTAATTATTATCAAATAATTGGAAAACAATTAGTAATTACCGTCAAATTTAAGAAGAAATGTTGGTTAATTTGTTTTGAGTGTAGCACCTTTTTTGACCACCAGATGGCAGTATAAGATGTTTTGAACGGAAGGATGGTTAGTGAAGGAGTGAGCAGCGTGTCTCTTTAAGAAAAATGGGAGGGGGGCCCCTTGACGTGACATGGGCTGTCTCTCTTTCAGTGTTGCCAGGTGTATGATATTTATCGTATTTATACGACAATTTTGCCCTCTGTACGATGTACAATCAACAATCCCAAAAAAGGCCAACTATACGATAATTTGACCATTTCTTGAATGTATGGTTGTAATCAGTTGTCATCAGCCTGTCGCAACTGTCTGTCGGAATTTTTTTTGTGAACAATGAAGGCATCTGTGTCCACAAACAGATGCACGATTGGAAATTCCAGCCAATCGTGCTTTTTTAAATGTTACCTAGAAGTGATGTGTATGCGTTTGCCTCAGAACAACGGCCATGACTGGCTGAATAGCCCGCTGCGCCCTCCCCATGAGTGAGGAAAAGAAAAGAAGAAGCAGAGCCGGTCTGGAAGCGGACCCATCACTACTATAGTGCATTGATAAATTTGTTATTCTGGTTATGACGGGTGTACGATAATATATCAAAATATGATAATTTTATGTCTCTAGTACGATAATCCTACATTACTCACCTGGCAACATCTCTTTCTGTATATTTGGTTCTCAAAATGACCGACGCTCTGTGTGGTTTGAGCTCTTTAGCATAGCATTTTTCACACAAAGCTTTTAATAAAAATAAAAAAAAAATCAGTAAACAAGTTCTCAGCTTCTTTTTGCAGAGAAAAACAACTTTTTACACGAACAGTGAAGTTTGAAACTTGGACAAGGTTTTTTTCCCCCCCCCCCGAGGTCGGCCTGTTAGCTTAGTTCGTAGCTTAGCTTCTCAGCTTAACTGCTTTTAATGATCCAAGAACGCAATTTTGGCGTTTAAAAATGGATTTTAAAGAGAAAGGGAAGGGTCAGTGAAGAGCACTGGCCTTCTGTCATCCAGTGTCTTCAGTAGAAAGAGAGCGACAAAGAAATGATAAAGCTGATAAATGAAAATGAGGCCAATAATTTTCATTTATCGTGTGATTAATTGATTTATTGTTTATCGCGACAGGCCTTGATAAAAACACAAAGTTTTCTTATTTCGTAACTCTATATATTAATTGAATAGTGAAGGTAATAGTTATTTGAATGAAGTCTAACCGTCATCAAGACAACGGCTATTAGCTATTTTAGTTTTTGTTAAACAGGCAAAGATCACAACCAAACATGTCAACCAGGAAACAAGTTTTCTCTTAACAGACCATTTTGCTTTTTTAGGTGATTATCCTTAACCACCCAGGCCAGATCAGTGCTGGTTATGCTCCTGTTCTGGACTGCCACACTGCTCACATCGCCTGCAAGTTTGCAGAACTCAAGGAAAAGATTGATCGCCGCTCTGGCAAGAAGCTGGAGGACAACCCCAAATCTCTCAAGTCCGGAGATGCCGCTATTGTAGAGATGATTCCTGGGAAGCCGATGTGTGTTGAGAGCTTCTCTGAGTACCCACCACTGGGTAAATTTGAGTGTGAAGATTTGTTGGGACTTTCAGCAGCCTTCTTAACTCCTGTTTGACTTCAAAGAAATTCTTATATTGAAGTTTTGCTTGGTAAAGTTCCCTTGTCCTTTTTCTCGCAGGTCGTTTTGCTGTACGTGACATGCGTCAGACTGTGGCTGTTGGTGTGATAAAAGGTGTGGAGAAGAAAGTGTCTACCACTGGCAAAATCACCAAGTCTGCTCAGAAGGCCCAGAGGAACAAATGAATGTTGTGTTGCTCTGCCGACCACAAGGTCTCTCAAGGCAGGACATCGCTCATCCAACTCTATCGTACGATTGGCCGCTTCAACACAATAATTAAAGACTGGTTAATCATCACAATGCATCGCAAAAGCATCCGAAGGAAAGAAACTGTAGAGCTGTATTCCTTGCTCTGGCACTCCTGGCTTCATTTCAGTAGTTAGATATGTGTTAAAAATAACGTTCACTGTAGACTATTGATTTGGTTCATGGCAATACCTTTATCTTAAGAAACGGAACATATAGAAATACAATGTAATTTTATCAACCTAGCTATCTGGAGTGCTAGTCCTACTCTACATGTCCTGCTTTCAGTGTTTGTTTGCAACTACATGGTGCTCTACACAAGTGAACAATAGTTACAACTGTCCGTTAGCTAAAGCTGGTCTTCTTAGTAGTAGGTTAGTGGAACATTTGTTGTATTTAAGCTTTAATATCACTTAAAACAAAACGTCTCAATTTGTCCTTGGGGGACAGATTAGACTGTTTTGATTCTCAAAGCACTTTGATTGGCATTTTGCTAACTTTGCACTTGAAATGAATACATTGACGAGCAACTGCACCTTATTGTAAGATGGCATGAGCCTCTTTGCAACATTAAACATTTTCAATCAATTTCTTTTGTCGTCTGACTATATTGTGTGTGTGTGATAAGAGACACAACTAAGATCTATGACTTGTAAGTGCAAGTCTGGCTCATATCCTTAGAATTTTTTTAATTCACTAGATGATGCTATTGGTAAAGGAATAAACAACAACAGGGTTTTCTTTAATAGTTGTATGATGCAATTTTAAACCAGTTCGTCTGCTACCTCTGATATCTAATCCTGGGATTCTCAACCTTTTTGGGTTCAGGGACCCTATAATAAGAGGAAAAAGTTTCAGGGACCCCTTCATAACCCTCATGTTAAATAATTTTCTTCAATTTGTCTGTTTAATGCAATTGTGTAACATACATACTTAACAACGGTTCTTTAATAGTGTTTATACAATTTTTATACTTTGAAACAAGGTATTTTTCATAATTTCAGCTTCCAAAAATTTGTTTTGAGAATACAAGTCTCAAACTTTCCCTATTCACATAATGTATGTATTACCACTTCTTCAAATTATTACAGAAAACTACATAAAACTGAAAAGAAGCAGTAGTCAGACCAAGGAACAAGTCTTCATTTAAAAACTGATCTATGCCGGAACACAAATAGCAGGTGGGGGCTGCTGGGGAGGGGGGGGGGGGGGTGGCTCCCCCTGAAAATTTTGAATAAAGTACATGTGATTTCCTGCATTTTGGTGTATTTAAATGGGTTGTTAACATATAAATATATACACACATCCAGCCATTATCTTTTACCCGCTTCTTCCATTTTTGGGTCACGGGGGTCGCCTGTGCCCATGTCCGGCAAACACTGTGTGAGGGGCGGAGTACACCCTGGATGGATCGCAAGTCAAAATAAAAAAAATATATATATATTTTTTTTTATGGCAGACACCCAAGCACCAGCTCACAGACCCCAGTTTGAGAACCACTGATCTAATCTATGAGGACAAATTTTTTTATACAGTTGCGGGTGGAATAGTTTAGGCCAGTCTGCCAAATGTGGTGTGGGCGTGTACTTCCTGTTACACGCCCACACATTTGGCAGACTGCCCTTAAACTATTTAGCATACCCTGGCACAGCAGTTTCACTCCAGTCATTTCATCATGAGCTGCAGAGGAAAACCACGCACGGCAGAGAATCATGATACAAACTTGAAAGAAGTGACTTCGACATCTCCAGGGAGATTAAGACACACTGCCTTTGAAGAAACCACAAAAAAACCTAAGAAGCAAGGCCAGCAAACGCAAAAAAAATCTGAAGAGAAGTCAGATGGGCCAAAAACTAGACAAGGAAGGACCACGCAAGACCAGCAAACGCAAAAAAAATCTGAAGAGAAGCCAGATGGGCCAAAAACTAGACAAGGAAGGACCACTAACCCTTTTACAGAGAAGCGACTGGATATACCTGCTAACGGCACAAAAGCAAAAACATGTTCTACTAGGAAAACATCTATGGAAACTACCACAGGGGATGATACAAACACAAAGCAGAAGCCAAAGCCAGAGACACACAAGGATATCTCAAAAACGTCCCCAAAAACCACCACTAAAGTCAAAACTCCTAAGGCAACATTACTAGTACAATTTTTCGAAGACCCAACAAACGCAGAACTGCATCAAGCGGCAGAGATAAAGACACACACGTTGGCTGCTGCAAAGCCAACCAAAGCCAAGACACGTGCTAACAATGCTACACGAGGGAGAACTGAAGCACAACCAGATGGAGCTGAGGACAGGACTGTGGACTGCATCCTCAAGAAGACTCTGAATAAACTGAAGATTAAGACAAAGGAAAGATCTGATGCAGCTCGCGTCATAAATGACTTTATAAAACATCTAATCAAGTATTTGAAAGAGAATACTATAAGTTTCAAGGAGGTTGGGGAACCACTACGAACAGGAAGTTACTATGAACACCTAAAAGTAAGTTGTTCTGTTCTTAAAGTATCCTCAATATAATTACCGGTAGTGATGAACATGTGTGTATAATTTGTATTTCTGTGTATACAGATTTCTAATCCTGATGAGTTCGACATCATGCTGCCCATTCTGGCTGAGCGAATTCAGATTGAGCCTTTCAAAATGAATGGAGCATTTTACAGTGTGGCATTAAAACGTGAAATGAACCCGTTGAAGAAATTCCAGCAGAACAACATTTTATCTGGCTTTGAAATGCTTAAGGAGTTCAGGAAGGAAGTGAAGACATTTGCTAAAGGCTTTTCAGGTCAGTGCCATGATGAAGACAAAGTCCCAGAATATAAAGAGCTCCTAAACACACCACTCATCCAGCTGTCATGCTACATTATTGGTAGCATGTTCATTTGATTACAACCCACTTGGCCTGAAAACATAGGTTAATCAATTTGAACTGTTTTCTGTTATTGCAGAATGGACAATGACGAGCAAGAAAACAGGCTGTCCTGCAGTGACTCTGACCACACTAGTAGAGACAACCACCATTTCACTAGACATTGTTCTTTGTCTTCAAGTTAACTCACACTGGCCAACATTCACTGATGATGGCCTTAAAATTGAGCAGTGGCTTGGAGATAAAGTAAAACAGAAATACAAATGGAAGCCATATTACCTTGTCCCAAAATATGAAGGCAAGGGAACTGAAGAAAATGAAGGAGTCCTTGCCAAAGGTAAGCATCATTTATTTGAAATACTACGCCCAAGAAATTTTTTTGTACCGTACTTTCTGCCGTACACGTCGCACCGCCGTATAAGTCGCTTCAGTCCAAATACTGTATGTCTGCTAATGTGGAAAAATACATAAATAAACCACTTCGCCGCATCCATTATGCGTCACCGCTGACACATCGCATTTGTTATGAGTCACCGCTGACCACACGGAAATATGGGCCGTTGTTTCGCCAAAAATCGATTGGCTGCCAAATGGCGGCTGCAGGAGCGTGCACGGGAGGACGTTAAAATGGTAAATGGACTGTACTTATATAGCACCTTTCTATCTTATTTCAAGACACTCAAAGCACTTTACACTACAATTTGTGTTCTCATTTACCCATTCATACAGCACTCTACATCTCTACAATGCTAATTGAACAAATCATTCTCAAATATGTTTAATAAAGTGGAAAAATCCATAAATACATTGCTTCACCATATATGTCACATCTATTATGCGTCACCGTTGACCACACAGAAATGTGGGCCGGTGTTGTGCCAAAAATCAATTGGCTGCCAAATGGCAGATGCTGGGGCGTGCACGGGAGGACTTTAACAAGATTAACACTTAAAAACAATTATTTGTTTGCTTGACATTATAGCAAAGGTGTGTCTCAGTTGAACTTTTACTTAAAATGTTTCACTTTAATGGTCAAATTAGCTGCATTTCACCAGGGCGGCGCAGCAAAACGAAGCTGATTTGACATTTGCTTCAAGCAGCAAGCTGAACGAAGATGGCAGTGTATGGCAAGCCGATTGTGTCAATAATAGCTGGTGAAGATTCCCAGTCAGCCAGGACATGGTAAATTCAAAAAAGTTAAAGACAAACAAAATAAAGTATAATAAATAAAGTTCAGTTGTTTTTGTCTTGAACTTTTTAGAATTTGTCATTATAGCCACGTTTACCTATTACATAATACAACAGCATGCCATACTATTATGCTGCCATGTAGTGGTTGAAAAATGGTAGTGTTCAAAATAATCGGTCAGAATAAATGAATGAAAACGGCCATATCACAGCCAAAAATTGATTTATAAATATGGGGAAAAAAAATCCATAAATTAGTCGCTTCGGCCCATAAGTCGCAGGGCATGTAAAATATGCAAAAAACAATTACTTATACAGCGAAAAAATATGGTATTTGTTTGCTTGACATTATGGACAAGGTGCGTCTCAGTTGAACTTTTCCTTAATAAATGCACTTTTATGGTCAAATCAGCTGCATTTCGCCTGGGCGGCACGGCAAAATTCAGCTGATTTGACGTTTGCTCCATCAGTTCCAGAGTGAGACGAAGGTGGCCTGTATGGCAAGCAAAGGGTCTCATTAATAGTCACTTTTACCTATCAATGAGACACTTGGCTTGCCCTATCACTCGAGGACCCTCTAGTGGCTGAAAATGGTAGTGTTCAATATTTTCCATGTCAGAATGAATGAAACCGTCATATCTCTGCCAAAAATTGGGTTATAAATATGGGGGGGGGGACAAAACAAAACATACTAGTCGATTTGGTGTATAAGTCACACGACTCGCAAATTCATGCAAAAAGGTGCAACTTATACAGCGAAAAATACGGTACATCAAAAAACCAAAAAATTTAAAATAAAAATTATGCAAACATGTACAGTAAATAAACATATGTAGAAAATGAAACTGAATCTTAACAGCTTAACAGAGGTTTCATCATGCAGACACAATTCATAGCCACACTGCAGAACAAGTTCCAGCACTAGCCAAATACCGTAATCACATTTCTTGTTAGTCAAGTTGTGACACTATCAACTGCAGACTACATTTAGTTGTTTGCTTTCATTAGTGACAAAAGCTTTGAACTTGTCTGGTAATAAATTGATTTTCTTCTAAACCTTACAGATGTTTGGCGGATTTCCTTCTCTCATGTCGAGAAGGACATCATGAACAATCATGGATCGAAGAAGACGTGCTGCGAAAAAAGTGGCACGAGCTGCTGCAGGTCAGAACTGTATAAATTAAAAATATATATATACATAGCTCATAAGGAAACAACTCATCTAAGAAATTACCTGATTAAACTAATAAGTTTATAAAACTATAAAGACACTTCATACATCAACACTGGTTTCACTTTAGGAATGGAATAATCAGCAACATTATTATTATCAAAAATAGAGGCAACAAACAAAAATCAGGTTACCATTTTTTTTTTAAATGACAAGAAATCCGATACATTTTTAGTAATCAGACTGGATATTGAATAAAAATTTGGCTGGAATTAACTAACAGATTAACTACTAAATACTCCTATTATAATCATTATTATCATTATAGTTAACTGATCTGAGTCTCCTTCATAACTGCTCATTTCTTGTCTTTTACAAACAGGAAAGACTGTTTAAAGCTGCTCAAATACCTTCTGCATCTACGTAAAGAAAAAGATTCTTCCATGAGCAAATTCTGCTCCTATCACGCCAAGACCACGCTCCTCCACGCCTGCTGCTCCAAATCTAAAGACAGTGACTGGAAGGTCTCAAATCTGAGAGGCTGCTTTGAGCATCTCCTGCAGGAATTTGAAGGGCACCTGAAAAATGTTGAACTCTACAACTTTTTTATTCCTAGTCAGAACCTGCTCTCTGATATTAGACAGAACCGGTGTATAACTCTTGCAAACTGGATTAAGGAACAACGTGAAACGGGCTTTCCTGTTTTTCAGCAAGATCTTCAAGATACAAATTAGGTGCCGGGTTAGAATTGCTTTCAACTTGACCACATATGAAAACTGAGGAACCAAAACTTTTCAATTTAAACAACAAAAAAAAGTCATTCACAACCCTGCTCAACACTTGAACTGATTGGACATAGTTTACCACAGCCATTTAAGGTTTGTTAGACTACAACTGCAACACATCATTGCACCATGTATATCAGAGCTCAGGGACCTTCCTTGGCTATAACCTTGACTCCCATGAGCCATATCTTAAACAGTCTGTTACGAATCTCGAGATGATTTTAGACTCGGACTTTAAGTTTAATAAACAGATTAACTGTTCTTCAGAAAAGCTGCTTCCAGTTAAGGCAGATAGCAAATCTCAAGTCCGAACTGACCAGATCGGACCTTGAAAAAAATAGTACATGCATTGGTTACAACCCAACTAGAATACTGTAACACACTTTATGTTGGGGTCAGTCAGGTGTCCGTCACATCTCCAGCTCTTCCAAAATGCTGTAGCTCGGCTACTAACATGAACTTGTAGGTTTGATCATATTTCACCAGTTTTGTCCTCCCTTCACTGCCTCCCTGTACACATCAGAATTTATATTAAAATCCTCCTATTGACCTTTAAATGCCTAAATGGACTTGCACCCTCATACCTCTCTGATCTACATCAACCAGATGTTCCTTCTTGGGCGCTGAGATCATCGGATTTTGATTGTTCCAAAAACAAAACTGACGCTCAAGGACCAGGCTTTTTTAGTCATGGGCCCTAAACTTTGGAAAAATCTGTCCCTCAACATTAGACAGGCCACTTCACTCCCAGTTTTTAAATCTATCCTAAAAAACACACTTGTTTTCACTGACAGTGTGATTTGATTTAGTATTTAATTGTTTTTGTGATTTTATGTTATTTTGATGCTTTTAATTACATAATTTTTCTTTAATTACTGCCTTGATCTGATTGTTAAGCACTTTAGTAAAAGCTGCTGTTTTAAATGTGCTTTATAAATAAATTTGATTTGACTACATGCACACATGCGTTGTTTTTTATCCATTCTTGGTTTCCTTCCCTTGTCAATGCAGGTGCTGGTCATAAAATGAGAATATTATAAAAAAAGTTTATTCATTTCAGAAATTCCATTCAACAAGTGAATTTTGTAAATTATATTAATTCATTACACAGATATATTTCAAAATGTTTACTGCTTTTAATGTTGATGATTATAAATGACAACTTATGAAAACCCCAAATTCAGTACCTCAGAAAATTAGAATATTGTGAAAAGGTTCAATATTGAAGACACCTGGTGTCACACTCGAATCAGCTAATAACTCAAACCACCTGCAAAGGCCTTTAAATGGTTTCTCTGTCTAGTTCTGTAGGCTACACAATCATGGGGAAGACTGCTGACTTGACAGTTGTCCAAAAGACGACCATTGACACCTTGCAAGGAGGGCAAGACACAAAAGGTCATCGCTAAAGAGGCTGGCTGTTCACAGAGCTCTGTGTCCAAACACATTAATAGAGGTGAAGGGAAGGAAAAGATGTGGTAGAAAAAAAAAAGTGTACAAGCAATAGGGATAACTGCACCCTGGAGAGAATTGTAAAACAAAACCCATTCCAAAATGTGGGGGAGATTCACAAAGAGTGGACTGCAGCTGGAGTCAGTGCTTCAAGAACCATCACGCACAGACGTATGCAAGACATGGGTTTCAGCTGTCCCATTCCTTGTGTCAAGCCACTCTTGAACAAAAGGCAGTGTCAGAAGCATCTCGAGACAAAAAGGACTGAACTGCTGCTGAGTGGTCCAAAGTTGTTCTCTGATGAAAGTAAATTGTGCATTTCCATTGGAAATCAAGTTTCCAGAGTCTGGAGGAAGAGATTAGAGAATCCACGTTGCTTGAGGTTCAGTGTCAAGTTTCCACAGTCAGTGATGGTTTGGGGTACCATGTCATCTGCTGGTGTTGGTTCACTGTGTTTTCTGAGGTCCAAAGTCAACACAGACGTCTACCAGAAAGTTTAAAGCACTTCAAGGTTCCTGCTGCTGACCAACTTTATGGAGATGCAGATTTCATTTTCCAACAGGATTTGGCACCTGCACACAGTGCCAAAGCTACCAGTACCTGGTTTAAGGACCACGGTATCTCTGTTCTTAATTGGTCAGTAAACTTGCCTGACCATAACCCCATAGAAAATCTATGGGCTTTTGTGAAGACGAAGATGTCATACACCAGATCCAACAATTCAGAAGAGCTGAAGGCCACTATCAGAGCAACCTGGGCTCTCAGGTCGTTTTCACACCAGATAGTCCGGTAGACTCGGTTCGGGACAAATATTCATGAGCTTTTGTTTACATTTGAGCTGGTGCGTTTGCATTCACACTGCACTGTGCAGTTGAGCCAACCTGTTGAACCAACCTATTCCCCCGCTCGCCTGAGGGGGCGCTGCACCAAGAACTACTGAAAGAAACGACACAAAAACCTCTGAAAACACGTCTTCTTCTTCTGTAAATAAAAATAAACACGAAGTGGCATCAAGTTTTAGCAGTTTTAGGAGTTATATTTTGTCATTTTTCAAAAATGGACTTAGCATGAACAGAAGATGAGACAGAAGAACATGGAGAATATTGTTTTTCCACACAAGGCAGCTGACGGCTCCATATAAAAAAATTAAAAAAAAACCCTGAAGTATGACTTTTTATAATTGTTTATTGTTGTTGCTGTTGTCCATTGTTGTCATCTTTCTTTGTTGAAATCAGGTCTCTCTTGTAAATGAGTCCTCGAGGCTCAATGGGATTAACCTGTCTAAATAAAGGTTGATTGATTGATTGATATAAGGTAAGAGCAATGTGTGTTTGTTTACCCTGCGGAGCGGGTCCGGTCTGTTTGCATTCACACTGTACTCAAACCGCGCTGGAGTTCGTTTCTACCGGACCGAGACCTAGGTTTTAGCCAGGGCCAGAGTTCGCCTTTTTGTTCCGTGACAGAGTTAGATGGTGTGTTCACACCTCCCTAAACGAACCAGACTTTCTAGGAAAACGAGCTAGAGTTCCATTAAAGTGGCCTAAACAGGGCTGGTGTGAATGCACCCTCAGAACACCTGAGCAGTGCCACAGACTGATCGACTCCATGCCACGCTGCATTGCTGCAGTAATCCAGGCAAAAGGAGCCCCAACTAAGTATTGAGTGCTGTACATGTTCATACTTTTCATGTTCATACATTTCATTTGGCCAACATTTCTAAAAATCATTTTTTAATTGGTCTTAAGTAACATTCTAATTTTCTGAGATACTGAATTTGGGGTTTTCATTAGTTGTCAGTTATAATCATCAACATTAAAAGAAATAAACATTTGAAATATATCAGTGTGTGTGTAATGAATGAATATATTATACAAGTTTCACTTTTTTAATGGAATTACTGAAATAAACTTTTTCAACATGGTATTCTAATTTTATGACCAGCACATGTAGACACATCTTTAAAACCTGCAAATGCCTGATATCAAATGACTTCCTATGACCTCTCTAAGGTCCCTTTGAACTTAGCAAATCGGATTGTATGATAATCTATGCCCCTGCAGCTTGTAACCATTTGCTATCTATTGATCTAAAATGGGGACTTAAAAAAATTATGAGGGCAAGGAGGCTGACTACAGTGAAGTTTGCCACTGCTTCCCATCTTAACCAAACCTACCTGAGTCTATCTGAACTTGGATCATGTTATTGTATGTTTTTACAATCTGTTTTTAACTTCTTAAAATTCCTACTTGACCTGAAACTTACTGCTCTCGGCTTCAGATGTAGGGCTCCCTTGAAAAAGAGATCTTTTGAACTCACTTGGACTCATCTGATTAAATAAAAAACAAATTAATGAAGATGCAATGAAAAGCAGGTTTCATTCTTGGATCATACTGCCAATATTTTAAATACAAAACCACAGAGAGTGACGTCTCTTTAGAATGAGAGTTTATTTACCCAGTTTGCCCCAATTTAAACAATCACAACAAAATATTCTGTCCACCAAAAATTAGGAATGAATATACAAAAACTAAAACCGATTTAGAACAATGAGTTCTAAATTGTTTTGAGGAAAACAAATTACAACAGAAGAGAAGCTAGAAAAATGAAGTTTCAAATAAAATAGAAAATATAAAGTACATAAACAAACAAGCAGTTTCACACTTTACTCCATCCTGTTGAAGAAAAAGAGCAATGTCTTAACATTAATCTATTGGAATTATCAAACACACATTGTTTTATTATCGTCTATTTACACTAAGATTGTCTAACTTCCATATAGTCTGGGTCTGCTTGTTAATAGATGAAAGTCACTTGACTAAATTTTCATTTACTGGAATATGTGCTGAGAAAGAGGAAGCTTTAATTTGAATCTCTTAAGTCAGCAGTTGTGATTCTCCTTTTTTATTCTCTCAATGAACAAACGTTCAGGTGAAGCAACTGTTCTCAGCTAAATTGGGAGTGCGCTTATATTCTGATCATTTCGCTAATATACATGACATGGAAGTTTACCTTTAGAACTGATAAAAACAGAAATTAAGATTTGTTCAGGTCATTAGTTTTATATTTTTTAAAAGGTATTTAAAAAAAAAAAGACGCTACAAGGCTGTTTAAATTTACTAAACCAGCTGACGACCCAACAAGCACTCCTCCAGTAAATGACTACATATTAATTTGTTGTGTTTATTTAAAGCAGATGTATATGTGCACATGCTTTAAATTACACTCGTTGGTCAACGATTAATTTGTTTCCATGGACAGTCTTAGTCTCTTAATAATTATAACATGTTAGTGTAGTGTGTAAGTCACCTTACATGGGAGCCACGCATTAGAATCCCCAGTTTTGGCTTCGGTCTCTGCCGCCTCTCCCTCCACCCTGTCTCCTTCCCCATCCCCCTCCTCCGCCTCGTCCTCCTCCTTGTCCCCCCCTCGGATAAAACATCTCCCTCTCCCTCTTGTGCTTCTCATATCTTTCTGCCATGAGCACCAACTCCTCGGGGACATCCTGTTAAGGATCAAAAAAGTTGGAAACATAAAAGCCCTTAATAAGACTGGTGACCTTAGCTTTCATTCTGCAAAACCAACGTTCCTGATAACTATTATAAAACAATAAAGAAAACATATTTTGAAGGTGTTTCACGTAGTGAAAAACTGAGCAGCTTTTCATTGTTTGTTAAATAATTAATCAACTTGTTATGATAATTATATAATGTATTTGCTAACTTGTCCAGCTCGTTCCAAGATAGAAATCAGTTCTGGGGCCATCCGCCAGTTTTCTCTTGTTATCAAGGTAATCGCAGCACCTGACCGTCTGAAAGAAACATGTACCAGCATCACAAACCAGCACAAGAACAATCAACTTCCAAATATTTTGTCGATTCCTACAAATATTTGGGTATCTTAGTCGATTTGCATCTCTCTTTTAAGCTTCACGTGGAAAACCTAGTAAGGAAACTGAAAGTTAAACTGGGTTTCTTTTTCAGAAACAGATCCTGTTTAACTCTGAATGCTAGGAAACACCTTGTAACGGCGACTTTCCTTCCCTCCATTGACTATGGTGACATTATTTACATGAACGCTCCTGCTAGCATCCTGCAGATGTTGGATGCTGTCTATCATGGTGCACTAAGATTCATAACTGGCTGTGATTATCGTACCCACCACTGCACCCTGTATTCACTGGTTAACTGGACATCATTAACTTCAAGCAGACTCTCTCACTGGTATATTTTCATCTTTAAATCACTTCTTGGTCTGTTGCCTTCATACATCTCTTCCTACATGTCACTGCGTGAGTGCAGCTACAGCGTGCGCTCTCAGGTCATTATTACCTGCAGTGTTCCCTCAGTGAGGACTGAACTTGGCAAAAGGGCCTTCTTCTACTCCGCTCCTGTTTCCTGGAATATCTTACAAAAAGATCTGAGGCTCTCGACCTTGACCTCTCTAAGTGGCTTCAAGCATCTAAGTTCCTGGCAAAAATCAGTGCAGACATGTTCCTGTTTTTAGTTTTCTACACTGCCTTACAATCTAGCGTTTTTTCGCTACTTTCCTTTTAATTATCCTTTTAATTGCAATTTTTTTTTCTTTTGTTAAAAAAAAAAATAAATAAATTTGTAAGCATCTTTTATGATTGTCTATTGTTGTCGTTGTCCACTGTTGTCATCACTCTTTGTTAAAAAAAAATCAGGTCTCTCTTGTAAATAAGTCCCTGAGGCTCAATGGGATTAACATGTATAAATAAAGGTTGAATGAATGTATACAGTAGTCACTCACTTATTGCGGGGGGTTATGTTTCAGACAACCCCACAATAGGTGAAAATCTGTGAAATAGGGATGTTATATTCATTTTAGTATTTATATACATATACATCATCCTTCTTGATATAGTGAGCACTGCACCGGGTAAGAGCTCAAGGTGTCGGGGTTCGACAACAGCGGCACGCCTGGAGGGCTGATGCGTCGTCCGCACGGTGGCCTCTGCCTTCTTTCCCCCACTCGAGTGGGTCTCCTCTACTGGTCCTGGGGAAGTGAGCGCGAGGACACGGGCAGCACGGAGAAAGGTCTCCAATGGCAGCCGCGCCCTGCGGGCTCGATGGGAGAAGGCGCTCCCTCCCGGATGCGTGCCCGGAGGTGTCCGGATGGGGAGGGAAGGAGGGCCGTACAGATGTTGGAGGTACGGTCCCTGGATGGTGACCGGGCTGCCCGGTCCTTAAAGAGCACAATGTAAGAGAGCAGACAGACTGATGCTATGGTTACTGAGCCAATCAGCACCTGGGATACAGAGCACAACGCTCTGGTTGGTAGCCTTCCATCAATCAGCTAATCGTGTGTTGTGTACAATCTTACGTTGAAAACCCGCGAAAAAATGAGTCTGCAAAAGTCGAACCGCAAAGTATCGAGTACTACTGTATATTCAAAGTGAGTCTTACCCTGCCCGGCCTGTGCGGCCCACACGATGGACGTACTCCTCTATGTTTCGTGGGAAGTCGTAGTTAAAGACATGCGTTATGTCATGAACATCCAGCCCCCGAGATGCCAAGTCTGTGGCAACCAAGATCCGAACTTGACCTGTTAAAAAATAAATAACATTACACTCCTACAGTTGCCACTTTGATCTTTGTGGAAAAGCACCACCCATACAAAACAACTAAAGCTGTATTTCAAAAGTTATGAAAAACCTATTTAAAGCACACTTTTCTTTATCGTTACATGCCTTCTTTAAAGTCCTTGAGAGCTTCTTCACGGGCGCACTGTTCACGGTCACCATGGAGACACTGCACAGAAATACCTTGTAGGCACAGGTCACTGGACAGGTCATCCGCCCTGATTTTGTCATTGTAAAACACAAAGCAAACAGTTAGTGTAGGTGGTGCTTGTGATATCTGTGGGTTTGATCCCAGTATTTACCAGTCAGGGAGAAAACAAATCCTGTCCTCATTACAATCTTTGGTCTACTTCCCACTCACATAAGCTTCTTGCCAACAAAGACGAGGACTTTATCCTGGGGCTGCATGTTTCTAATGAAGTCAAACAGATATGACTTTTTCTCCTCTTCTTGAACAACCACTAGAGTTTGCAGCACTGTGTTAACTGCCTGGCACACAAACACAGCAAACAAGGAAGTGAGCTGCCTTCATACAACATTTGTCTAATGATCATAATGCGCTTCGTTATTCTAAATGGAAGAACGATGCATCTAAGTCTCACTTAAATATATTATGAATTATGAAAGCATTCAATTCCTCTTACAGCCAAGTCCAGGGTGCCTACGTAAACCATCATAGGATTCTTCAGGTAAGATTTGGCCAATCTTCTTACACCTGTGGGCCAGGTGGCACTGAAACATGAGTTAACAACAAAAATGTAAGATTTAGTCTGTCAATTTAGGAAAAAATGCTGCAAAAAATAAGGATGCAGAAACATCACTGTTATTTAATACCTTTATCTTTTGAATTCATCTTGGGATTTTTTTTTTTTAATCCTTCAAACACCAAATTAATTAGGCCACACCTCTGAGTGTGCGATCGGACTTTTCATTATAACCGACATGTAAACATCTTTATTGTCCAACCATGTATGGCTGCTTTGGTAGTTATTAAAAACCACCAGGTGTTCATTCAGACATGACATTACCACATTTAGTTGCTTATTTTGTAAGTGTGCTAAAGCATTGTTCCTGTGACTCTAAATCACTTAATACAAAAATAATACCAGATGGCTTTCATGCTCTTGGTCAGACGTGTATTAATGGACCTGTAGCTTTCACTTTACTCGTGTGATTAAACTTTACTGAAGTTTTACCTGGTCATGACAGTTTGTCGGTCTGGACGGACGTCCAAAAGAATCTTCAGGATCTGGGGTTCAAAGCCCATATCAAGCATACGGTCAGCCTCGTCCAGCACCTTTCCGCAACAGCCAGAAAACTTTGATAAATTGTCTCTTTCCCAGCACAACAAGAAAAGTGTTCTTTCTACTTTTTAGTGTAGACACTTAAGAGTTGTAAACATTTAAAATTTACAAATAAAACCTATTGTTCAGAGAATGAAGACAAGTTTAACAGAAGTTTGTTAAAATGCACGACCATAAAAAATTGACACAGACGATACCACATAATGAAATCCTCTGTATTATCTATATAAACATTCAATAAAAACAAACATCAGACCACATAGGTGATGGAGTGAAGATTGATGAGCTCATTCATCTGTAAATCATTGAGTCGTCCTGGTGTAGCGATCACAATGTCCACGCCACTCTGCACCACATTAATCTGGCCTCTCCTATCACCTCCACCATAGATACAGATGCTGAAAGAAGATTTAGATGGAAACTAAGAACACAAGTAGCTGCTTTAGGAATTTTACAAGGAGATTTACATTTTATTTTTAGTGCCCATTATTACCTTTTGTATCCCTTGTACTGGTATTTGCTGCACTCATCTTCAATCTGCAGGGCAAGTTCTCTGGTAGGGGTCAGCACCAACATGCCAGGACCATTCCGCTCAGCTCTGGGTCTATTATTACATAAAGGACCAAAAACATTAAGATACTCACTTACAAAATTAATTAAAGCATGAAGTGGGCTGTTTGCAAAAAGAAAAGCAGGTACTAAAATCACAAACTGAATTATGTACTCACATGGGCTGTCCATCCATGTGGATGAACCCTGGCAGCAGGTAGGCCAGAGTTTTCCCAGTTCCTGTCTGAGCGATTGCTATCAGGTCCTCTCCACTGACTAACACCGGCCAGGCCTGAGACTGGTGAAGGAACAATCAAAAAGAAATGTCACTTCTCAGCTACATAAGAGTAGGGCTGAGTACCGAACTGAGGTTCTTTTATGGCACGGACCGAACTGCACCGGTCGGTGTATGTATTGAAACGTCACTCTTCTTTCAGTGTCAAGTTTCGGTATTGGCTGTAACGTGTCACGTGGTTTCAGCATGCAGGCAGGTAAAACACCAAACATATGACAAACAGACTACACGCAGATTACACCCAGAGCTGTAAAGAGCTGCCGTACCTAATCTATGTATAATGTATGTCTATGGTGTTGGTGACGCCCACAGACGGGTTCACGTGTGCAGCGCGTGTTGTCGAACGGCTTCGACAACACGCGAGCAGAAAGTTGCTTTGTGTTTTTCTGCGAGGAGAGAGGAGTTCAGCAGCCTCCCCCCCCCCCCCCCTCCTCCTCTCAGCATTAAAGTCAGCCTGTGAGTAGAGCCTGAACATCCTGATTCATTATCTCCACAACTGGACTCTTCATCAAAGAACTCCGAGGACGTCTCTTGTGTCTGTGCTTCAGCTGGTGAGTTTACGTTTGTTAACGTAACTGCAGTTTAACACGTACATCGCGGTGAATTAAACTATGATCTTTTTAAGATATTAGTGTGTAAATTTATTTTAGCTAGCTAAACTCAGAAGCTAACTAAAGATTGACAATAACAGATGAAGCTTAGCTTGTAAAAATGTGCTCATCTATCCAGTCAGCTGCTTAAATATTTCACCAATGTTCACTGTTTATGTTCATGTTCTCCTCACAGGAGCCTCTGATCCTGATGTGAGGAGGACAAAAGAATAGCGAGGTGGGGGCCACAGGACAGTCACAAACTTTGTTGTTAAAAGTTTGCTGCTTTTTCTACAGTGGAGCTGCATGGTGGAGGTAAATAAACTGTAAAGGATTTTGTTGATCAGTTAAGCATTTATCTCTCAGCCTAGATAATGTTTTTTGAGTAATAATAACACAACCATGTTATTGTTTATGTTTTGTGTTCTCATGTCAATTAGGGAGATGATCAGAGCCCTAACCCCAGAGAACCACAGAGAAGTTTCAGGCAGAGACACAGAAGTACAGAAGTCTGCATCAGCCCTAACCTCAGTGAATCCAGTGACCTGCTGGTGGAATGTGAGGGACACTATGTCAGTGCTATCAAACGGACACCCAGGTATTTGTGTGTGCAACAAGCATCATCTACAGCCTTAGAGTGAACATTTTCTACTGCTGGAGACACCATCAGCCAGGAGCGGGCTTGTTTGTGTCCAGAGAAAGCAGACATGATGTTTCTGAAGACAAACTGTTAAGTGAAAAGGTCCTCAGTGTGTAGCAGTGAGCATTAGACACTGACATGTCACTGGTTTGTAACTGGTCTTTTGACCTGGAAATTATTTGTTTGTCTTTATGTAAGAAAACTGCTTGGAATAGAAAAATACCAAAGTTAAAAAATAAAACTCACAATTTGTACTGTAATGTGTAACGTAATTTTATTCTTGTTAGAATTAATAGTAATTACAAAATTGGTACCGAAAAAAGAACCGTCCAGGAACCGACACTGAAGTGAAGGTACCGACACCGGTACCGATACCGATTTTTTTTAGAAAGGTACCCAGACCTACATAAGAGCTAGTTCAACTCCCGGTACTGACAACATCAAAATGTGGGTGGGATAGGTGAAGCACCCACACCTGCCTCCACCCTCATTTGCCCCACTTTGGGCCCTTGAGCAACGCCCTTAACCCCCACCATCTGCTCCCCCAGGCGCCCTTGATGGCAGCTCTCTGCTCCACACAGAGGCTGTGGTAGCTCAGTGTCTGTGGTTGCACCAGGAAGGGCATCTGGCGTAAAAGTAACTGTCAAGTCTTCGTGCGACTTAGTTCGCTGTGGCCACCCCTGAAGAAGGGAGCAGCCGAAAGAAAAAACAAACATGTTTTATTTGTAGAAAACTTCCTATTATTAGATATTTCATCAATTGAGCTTACATAAACACATTCACAATTAGGCCTGTCGCAATAAACAAATCAATTAATCGCATGATAAATTAAAATTATTGACCTCATCTTTATTTATCAGCTCTATCATTCCTTGGTGTCTCTTTTTCTACTGAAGACACGACTCAACTCCGGTGCTTTTCACTGACCGCTCTCTTTCTCTTTAAAATCCATTTTAACAGTCCAAAATCGTGTTTTTGGACATTAAAAGCAGCTAAGCTGAGAAGCTAAGCTAACAGGCCGACTTCGAGAAAAAAACATCCGTCTTGTCAAAGCTCCAAAATTCACAGTTGGAATCCGTGCCTTCATGTAAAAAGTTGTTTGTCTCTGCAAAAAGAAGCTGAGAACTTGCTTAGTGATTTTTTTATTAAAAGCTTTGTGTGGAAAAATGCTATGTTAAAGAGCTCAAACCACTGAGCGTCCGCAATTTTGAGAACCGAAGAAAGTCCATGTCACGTCAAGGAGCTTCCCTCTCATTTTTCTTAAAGAAACGCGCTGCTTGCTCCCTCACTGTCCATCCTTCGGTTCAGTCTTATACTGCCATCCGGTGGTCAAAAAAAAGGTACTATACGCAAAACAAATTAAACATTTCTTCTTAAATTTGACAATAATTACTAATTATTGTCAAATTTCAAACAATATTATTGTTTATTGCAATAATTTCTGAAACAATTAATCGCCCAGCAAAATTTGTTATCATGACAGGTATGTAGATGAACATATCCTGAGATATTCACCTGATTAAAACGGATTCTTTCATTTTTCTGGACTGTATATAACGTGCATTGAATTTAATAAAATGTAACGTGAGACGTTATTTATCTTTGAACCTATTCGTTCAGCAATTTCTTTCTGTGTCTTACCCTCTTGCTTGAGGGTGTCAATGATGGCCTTCTGGACAGCAGTCAGGTCGGCAGTCTTACCCATGACTGCGGTTGAGTAATGAACAAGGCTGGGAGTTTTTAAAGCCTCAGGAATCTTTTGCAGGTGTTTAGAGTTACGTCGTTGATTCAGATGGTTAGGTTAATAGCTTGTTTAGAGAACCTTTTCATGATATGCTAATTTTTTGGGACAGGCATTTTGGGTTTTCATGAGCTGTATGCCATAATCATCAGTATTAAAACAATTAAAGTCCTGAAATATTTCAGTTGGTGTGCAATGAATCTGAAATATATGAAAGTTTCATTTTTATCATTTTTATCATTATATATATATATATATATATATATATATATATATATATATATATATATATATATATTGTAATTAATGGTAAGTTCAGACCTTGGAAAAGTAGTAGGCAAGTGAGGCCTTCTAGAGACCTGATATCTATCTAAAATTTCTGAAAAATTACCAGTACATTGAAATAATCGCTGGTGTTTAAAAACAATTTCCTTTCAATTGAATTTTTAACATTTAGCATTAGGACTCTGCTTTTATTTGTTAAATCAATAAACTCAGATAAGGGATCTGGACATAATTCGGTCAACGAATGCATTTGCATTGCTAAGCACATTTAAAACAAACAAAAAAAGAGAGGTTAGTGACATTATGAAATGGTTCTTTTCAACAGCTAAGTTGGAATTACTTAAACAAGCAATGTAGACCAGAGCAGAAGGTGTGTTGAAACAAACTCTTTCATACTGTCAAGTTGCACTGTATAGAGCTGGTTGTGCAACTAAATGAAAGTGCATACTGGGTGTAGTCTTAGAAAATCTTATTGTGTAAAGTGAAAGTATGACAGACTTTGTTGTTTTCAACCAGTTTGACAAGACTGTCAATAAGGAAGAGGGCCGGCAATGGAGAAGGGAGCGTACCAAAGAGACCATCCTATCACAAGCAGAATTGGTTTGTTCCACTTTGGAGTAAGCTGTTGGGGGAAGAATCAGTTTTGTTGTGTGTTTCCTTGACTGATGAAGCCTTCCGGACCGAAAGCGAAATGTTTCAGCACAAAAAAAAAAAGAAACTGTCCAGATGACCTGACTGAAAAATGTTGGATATGAAAGATGGTGATTATGCAATTTAATTTCCTGTAACAGTACACTTGTTTGAAATTCTGCATCGACATGACCCTACTGAGCAACATGTGAGTTTTGTATGAAAATAGAAGTGTTTGTTTTTACCATTTTAAAATCTACAAGATAGGCTCAAAAAAAAAAAATCCATCCATCCATCCATTATCTTTTACCCATTTCTTCACAGATAGTTTTTCTTCTTTGATGAGATAAGGATCTTACAAGGTTGACTCAAAATGGCTATTTCTTCATCCTTTCTCAGTATAAGACAATTTTTATTTATAACTTTGGCATGAAATATTCCAGTAGGCAATACGCATTCCTTTAAGGTATCCCAGACCTTTAGTTTATTTTTACATCAATAGTTAAAATATACATTTACTATTTTCATTTATTTATAATTAAATTGGCCAAATAATCCAATATTGTGCATCCCTAGTTAAGGACCTTGCTCAAGGGTCCAAAGTGAGGCACGTGAGGGTGGAGGCAGGTGTGGGTGTTTCATCTTTCCCACCCACATTTTAATGTTATCAGTCTGGGGAGTTGAACCGGCGACCTTCCGATAACAGGCCCACCTTCTCTAACCTCTGCGCCACCACTCCTCATGCACGTTAGGCTAATTAGTAACTCTAAATTTCCCCTAGGTGTGAGTGAGAGTGAATGTTTTTTTGTCTCTACAGGGCCTTGTGATGGACTTGTGACCTAACCAGGGTGTACCCCGCCTCTTGCACAGTGATTGCTGAACAAAGGCATCAGTAACCCCGCCACACAAAAAGGAAAGAACAGGTAAAAAATAATGGATTGATTTTGAGGTTCCCTTTAATACCATGAATGGAGATAAGCCAACTCAGCAAACTCAGGTTAGTCTTCATTCCAGAATCATAATCTCAAGGGCGTGCCTTGAAACTATGAAATAACTATGACAAGTTGTCTGAGGGGCTGGACACTCTTCCACTCTGGAGTTGCCCCTGGTGAGAGGC